TGAGCTTTTACTAGAAGAATTAGATAAAAATAAAGAAAGAAAGAAAATAAAGAAAACAGTAAGGATATAGAAGATCTGAATGACACTATCAATCACCTTAACCAATAACTGCAAACATACAGTCTTCTCAAATTTGAACAATTACCCAGTTAAACCTTTTATGAGGTCAGCGTTACATTAATGCCAACTCTAGAAAAACGCATTCCAAATAAAGAAAACTACAGACCCTAGACACAAAAATCTTTAATAAGTCCAGTATTCGTCAACTGAATATAACTAAGGAAACTAAGAAAACTACCAGTAGAAGGAAACTTTCTCAACCTGATAAAAACCCACAGCCAACATCAGCTGTGAGGTGAAAGTCTAGATCCATAATTCTCTGGGATCAGGATGGAGGCAAGGATGCACATTCTCCTCACTTGTAATCCACATCTTACTGGTTATACTAGCTACTGTAACATAGCAGGAAGAAATAAATGACATAGAGGTTCAAAAGAAAGAAACAAAACTCTCTATTTGCAGTTTCCTTGGGCTGCCATAACAAATAGCTCAAACAAGGTGGCTAAACACAACTAAGTAATTTCTGGGAGCTAGAAGTCTAAAATCAAGGTTTTCACAGGGCCGTGATCCCTCTGAAACTTCTAGAGGGAAGACCGTCCCTGTCTCTGCCCATCTTCTGGTGAGGCTGTCACCCTAATATTCCTTGCCTTGTAGCTGTTTAACTGCATAACCTGCCCTAATCTTCACAGGGTGCTCTCCTTGTGCGTCTGTGTCTGCACGTGGCCATCTTCCTATAAAGACATCAATCCTATTGGATTAAGGTCCATCCTAATGACCTCATCTTACGATAATTAAATCTGTGAAGACCTATTTTTAAATAAGGCGACATTCACATGTACTGGGCGTTAAGACTGCAGCATGTCATTTGAGGGGAGACTTGAGGGGAGACTTTCAACCCATAATAAGATGACGTGATTGTGTACATAGAAAATTATAAGGAATCCACAAAAGATCTATTCGAATTAGTAAGTGAATTTAGGCAGATCAATGAGATCAATATATTAATACAAAAATTGATATTATTTCTATTCACTAGGAACACACAACCGGAAAAAGAAGTAAAAAGACACAATTCCACTTATAATATTGATTAAAAACAAGAAGAATTTATGTTGTGAATTTCACAAAATATGTACAAAATCTGTCTACTGAAAACTACCAAACATTGCTGAGAGTAACTAAAGACCTAAATAAATGAGGGATGTGGGTCGGAATATGTTCACAGACTGAGAGACTTGATATTATTAGGAGGTCAATTCTCCCTAAATTTATCTATAGATTTAAAGTAATCTTAATAAAAATTCCAGCAGGGTTTTGGGGTAGAATTTGACAAACTGATTCAAATTATCTACAGTCAAAGCAATTTAAAAAAAGAAAAAGAACCAACCTGGAGGACTCACATTGCTTGATTTCAAGGCTTACTATAAAGCTACAATAGTTCAGAAGGCACAGAATTGGCAGAAAACGAGAAATACAGATCTAGGGAACGGAACGAAGTGTTCAGACGTGGACCCACACACGTGCTCAATGATTATCAACCAAGGTGCCAAGTTAATTCATTGGGACAAGTAAAATCTTGGCAACAAAGAGTCTTGGAACAATTAGATATGCATAATGGGGAAAATGTAATTTTTTTCACTTTCCTCCATACCCAAATGTTAACTTGAAATGGATCATAGACAAAAACTATAAAAATTCCAGAAGAAAACATAGGAGAAAATCGTATAAATTTGAGTAGGTAAAGATTTCTTAGGTAAGATATAAGAAACTTCACAAACCCTGAAATAAACACATGATAACGCGGACTCTACCTAAATTAAAACATTTTCGTTTTGAAAGATACCATTAAGCACCTAAGAATGCTAACCACAGAGTGGGAGAAAATGTTCTCAATTAATATGAGAAAAGACAAAAGACATATCTGACAAAGACATATCTTGAATATAGAGAGAACTCTCATCATTTAAATAAGAAGACAATTTGCCCAAGGTGGTGGGGAGAAGACACTTGTGTTCATTTGCTAGGGCTGTTATAACCCCAGCAAAGAGCCCAAAATACCATAGCCTGGGTGGCTTGGACAAGAGAGGTTTACGTTCTCACAGTTCTGGAGATTAGAAGTCCGAGATCAAGGCGGGAGCATTTTTGGCTTCTTCGAGGACTCTCTCCCTGGCTTACACGTGGCCGCCTTCTTGCTGTGTCTTCACATGATCATCCCATCAGTTCCCTATCATCAGTGTCTACGCGGGGCAAACCTCACCAAAGCGTACACTTAAAATGCACAAATTAATGGTATATAATTGATAATACAATGGATTATTTAAATTAAAAACCCATCTGCAATTAAATCTTCCACTCATCCTATTCTAGCTACTGTCATTGCCTTACCACTAAAACTGCTTTTGTCAAGGTCAGCAATGACCTCCATGGTCCCAAATCCAATGTGCTCTTTATCTAATAGTTTTCACAGACGCTACCCAGTAACCACATTCCTTACAACTGAACGCGTACTCTTTCCCCAGCTCTCCTGACATGTCTTGTGTTTGTTACACCTAACAAGACTGGCTCTTCTTAGACCCCTTTTCTCAATTGTTCTTCTCGACCCAGAGTCTACGTATTAGAGATTCTCAGGGCTTCATCCTGGCTACTGTCAATTGTCTCCCAGGACCTAGCACAGTGCCCGATACTCATAGTCAATACTTTTTCGGAAAAAGGTGAAAATAAAATACTGAAAATACAACTTCAGAATACACCTGTATCAATTACAGTATTATGATGCATGACCTGCAAAAGAGTCTCTAAGATGCTAATCATGGCACCTTCAATCAGTAAATACTATAAGATATTGTACATTTATTTCTCTGTCCGCTCACCCTAAAAATGATTTTGGTCCACGTACTCAAATCAAATTTATCCATAATGCATTCCAATTCCTCTTTATGGTTCCTTTTATGTTACAGAGGGAAATAAACATCCAATAAGTGACAGAGCTACGATTTGAGCCAGATGAGACTGTCTCTAGAGCCTACGTACAGAATAATGTGTCAGCATCTTTAGAGGAAAACAAAAGTTGCAGTTTACTCTCCTTAACAACTCAGCTATTTGTCTGTGTTGTTCCAACTAGTTGTATTTTCCTTGAGAAGAAAGATAGGAAGCATACGACTTTAAACAATTTTTAAAATGAGACGTCTAATTTCCAAACGGCAATTCTAAAAAAGGTGGACAGTAGTATTTAAATTTATGCATAATAATGGTTGCTTTTTCTTTCAAAATACGTCCAATAGTCACCATAGTAACAGATACAGAGTCTCCTGTATGTGCCTCCTGGTGTTTTCGACGTGAATAACCACACGATATTAGATTCAGAGGAAGGCAAAGAACAAATCCATAGCAGAATGTCAGGAGATAAGTTTTAATAACTGTAGTGTTTTTAATTTACATTGAAGTCTAGAAGGTAGTAATATTCGTTATTATGATATAATGATAAAGGAAATGTTTCCTTTTGTATCTAGACAATATCAATATTAATGCAAACACAATTTGCATATGTATAGAAGACAGCGCCATCAATCAATATCCTTTTCTATTGCTCCATGGAGCTCAAACATCACAGGCTTGCCACTGCAGAACCACCAGCAGAAGCCAAAGCAGAAATTGGCCACTGTCACTTTGTAACTCATATTCATAGGAAAAGATAATGACCAAAGGCAGTATAAGAATCCTAAACTGTTAAACACTTGAAGAATAATTTGGATAATAGTTTTTTCTAAACACATGGAAATTTTGATTATAGGAGCCTTATATTTCTCCCTTGGGAGTTTTTTTTTTCAGATTTCACATTCTCCCCCCCACCCCCCCCCCCCAGTAATATTTTGTTTGTTTTTCTGTTGTTTTAAACACTTAACATTTTTTAGGGTGATCTATATACTGCCTCTGGCCAGGAAAGTCCTTAAGGTCAAGGTAGGCAGATCTCTAAGAAACCATGACTGCTCTGATGTGACGTCCAGCTAAGTAGAAGCTCTCTGGACACAGGTTGTTTCCCTTTAAAGAAAAATAAAGAAGATCCTTTAAGATGTAATTGTCTCCACACAAGAAAGACTATGAGAATAGATATTTTTTCCAGTAAAAAAGAAACAAAGTGTATATTGAATCGGAAATTGTTGGAAACAGAATCTTGAAATCAACCAGGTAAACTTTCTTTTTTGCAGTTGTAGAAACTAAGGACCGGACCAGTTAACTTTTCCTTGCTGTTAAAGTCACAAATCTAATTGTGGTGGAACACAGAACTTCCAATTGTGTGTACTTCTCATCGTAACATGATGTCCTACAATAAATGAACATCCTGCATCAGCATGTGGTATACTGTAAAACATTTTAAAATCTTTCAAAATTAAATTACTAATGAAAGGTCAATCCTAGTTTCAGAAATAGATGCTTCCTTTCTCCTGTGAAGTTTTATGCCTGATCAACTTCAGGAGGGACATTTACACGAGGCAGTGCTTGGAAACCCCATTCCACGTCAGCTGCAAATGCATCATTTCAGCATCTGTGGTGAAAGGAACAAGGAAACTATCATAGACAGCATTTTTATTTATTTCTTTTTATTGAACTACAGTGGATTTACAATGTTACGTTAGTTTCAGGTGTGCAACACAGTGATTCAATTTTTTTATAGACAGTATTTATAAACAGTATTTTTACGTCACAATACAATCCATTTTCATGAACTTAAAGCGTCATGAGAGTAATTATATTTTATCTAAGCTCATTAAGGAAGGTTTTTTCATTACTGTGTTATGAATTAATTTATTTCTAAGAATAAAATCTCAGCATATGTTTTTTAAAAATTGTTTTTTATTGAAATATAGTTGATTTACAATGTGTTAATTTCAGGTATACAGCAAAGTGATTCAGTTATACATTCATATATATATATACACACACACATATATATATATTTTTTCAGATTCTTTTCCTTATAGGTGTTAAAAATATTGAGTATAGTTCCCTATATGCTGTTTTTAATCGTGAAGTGGCATGTTTGGCTCAGTCCACGACAGTTTCTTTATTTTGTAAGACATTAACTCAGAGCTGAAGTCTAATATTTCACAGTAAAATTAATTGCCCAAAGCACAGGAGATGCAAAGTGAATTGTCATTTCATTAAATTACTCTACGTATGAATCTTCATAAACAGTGACCCTTCATTTCCCATTTTAGCTCAGTGGTTCTTGAAATTTCTTCTCCCCAGGCAGCAACAGTCAGCAATTATTATTTCAAAACCACATGCTTGCACACACATACATGTTTTAAATTGTAACACACAAATTTAAAATCTAAAATTAAAAAGCAAAGGATTTCATTTGACATCATACTTTCAAAATATGAAGAAGATACTTTCCTAGAAGTTATTTTTCAAAATGATGACATCTTGGCTATAACAGATTGGCTATTAGAGTCTTGTGAACCATCTGTTCCATAAGATTTTTCTATCATAACTCTATTTAAACCACTCAGGCAATATGAATTGGGCTGTTTGCCAGGCTTTAGAAACAACCTTGTAATATTGGAATGAGTATTACCATAGGACTTCTGAAAAGACAGATTCTGCATTGCTTCCGGTTTGGGAAGTGCTCACCTGGTCTTCTTTCAGCTCATCAAATAAATAAAATTATATGAATAATTTTCACTTAGGTGTGAGCCTAGAGATTTGTACATTTTGACTCCTGTTTTCCATAATTTAGCTCTTCCGTTTACAAGCTCCGCAACTCTGACTGACAGCCAAGCAAGAAAATGAACTCCACATGGCTCCAGTCTCCGTCACTAGGTCGGAAGGAGCTGCTCCTCATTCATTTTTCTTCCATGAAGATTTATCATGGCTGTAACTGCATTTGGCTACTTCATACTTTTGTTAATTTCACTCACCAGCTATTAAAAGATGTGTTCAACATGGAAGTGCACACATGCAGAGTTAAGTGCTGTGGTGGGCAGGCGGTCCAGGGGTGGTTGGACTGAAAACAGGAGAGAGAGAGTAGGCACGATTTCTGCCATCAAAGCATTTACGGTCAATTTCAGGGAGGGTGCATCAGCAAACCTAGAGGATATTATCATTAATTTGGTGGCAGTGGGGCTAAGGATTTGTCCTAGAAAGTTTTTGGAAGGATGAGACTTACCCTGGTGATGACTCAGTGATGGTGAGAAAAGGAGAGAAGTTAGGGAAAGACTTCTTTCTTCAGCCAAAAACATTACTTAGTGTTATCTTTATTTTAAGACACCATTAATGATAAAATCCTCCACCGAATTAATAACAGCCTTTTGGAGAGAAAAAAAGATGTTAGCTTGTACCTCTGACTTCAATGCTTAGATGGTGACTGGGCATCTACATGGCCTCCCGTACCGGTTGGACCCCTTCTGTTAGAGGCAGAGTGATGGTCGAAAGCAGGAACTCGAGAATTAGACTTACCCAGTTCAGGACCTGGCTCTGCCACCTACAGCCCGAGTGGTCTTAGGTAAATCGCTTGGCCTCTCTGTTCTTCCTCTGCTTCTCTGTAAACCCTATTGAGTACACCCATCTCAGACAGAGAAAGACAAATACCATGTGGTATCACTTATACGTGGAATCTAAAATATAACACAGATGAACTTATATACGAAACAGACTCACGGACATAGAGAACAGACTTGTGGTAGCCAAGGGGGAGGAGGATGGGGGGGCGGATGGATTGGGAGTTTGGGGTCAGCAGATGCAAACTATTATATAGAGAATGGATAAACAACAAGGTCCTACTGTAGAGCACAGGGAACTGTATTCAATATCCTGTGATAAACCGTCATGGAAAAGAATATGAAAAAGAATGTATACGTGCATATAACTGAGTCACTTTGCTGTATTGCAGAAACTCACAGAACATTGAAAGTCAACTATACTTCAATAAAATAAATTAAAAAGTAATACACCCATCTTGTATGTTTGCTGTGAGAATGAAGATGTGAGTATGCATGAAATCTTTAGAATGGTGCCTGGCATAGTAGAGTTAGCGATTATTATTCGATAAGTGCAGTATGTTAAGTACTGGGAAAAAAGAAGCTGATAAGAAGAGTAAATCAGAATAGAAGAAGTCCCAGATTGAGCTATCTATAGCTGTGGAGTGAGCATAAGAAAAGAAGCAAGGACCAGCAAGTGTGAGTACAGGAACTGTGGTGCATCGGGAGTGTAAGACCCGGTGGGTAAGGAAGAGAAGATCACGCCCAAGGAGAACGTTTTTCTTCTCCTGCAGTCAAGGGGGAGGCTCAGACTTTTAGAGCAGGGATCAGGCTGTGATCAGCTTTGTGTTTAAAGAGATGAAGCTGGTAACCTGAGGACAGCTTTCAGGAACGTTAAGAGGGGACCGGGCAGAGTGCAGTCTGCAGGGCTTTCTGCAGACTGTAGGTAATGCAAGAGGACAGGTCACATCACAGGTGGAAACAAACACACATGAAGATGACTGGATGCCCCAAATCAGGGGGAACTCACTGAGGGCAGCAATCATGCCTTTTATTTACCTTGTAGCTTCTTGGGTCCAGCAGCACACCTGCATCGAAGCTCCCGACAGATTGCCGTCTTGGTCAAGCCCATGATGACCTCAAGGTTAGCGGTAACAGAAACTCTGTCTCCTACTTAGAACGTTCACTTTTCCCCAGAAACAAGTTAGTCACCTCACTGCCTTTGCTTTTTCCTACTTCTGTCCTTCAGAAGCTGATGTGAATACAAATTATGATTTTCCCTCATCACGGGTTGTCAGGCCCAGGAACACAGTAACGGCGATTTTATGGCAAAAAGTCTTCTCGCTAAGAATCAGGGCAACAGAGCCTTTTCCCTTTGGATGGTTTCAGAAGATTCATTTCACATTTCCATAGCCACTAAAAAGGGTATTCCATCCAAGACACCGTGATGGTTTCACTGACGGAGTGCCTAGTTCCTGTAGGCTTGGGGCACTGTCCTTTTGATGTGAGACCAGAATCAAAATGATGTATGTTTGTTGTTGGCAGTAGAATTTTTAAGTTACATATTTATGACTAAAACGGTGTGGAGTCATAAAACAAACACCAAGTGCTTAATATAAATGTACATTTCATAAGTCTGAAATGTCTTTTTGGAGACGCTCATGGAGGAATGAAAACGTGATGGTTTAAAGCGCCGGCACCGGAACCAAGTGCCCGCATTCCAGTTCTGGCTTCAATACTGATGCAGAAAACGCGGCCTCCGTGCACCGGCGCTGAATGGAATCTTGGAGACACAGCTGGGTGAAGTAGAAAAGAGGAGCTTTAATACTTTTCCAGGCAAAGGGGGACACAGCAGGTTCCTGCCTTTGAACACTGTGTGTCCCAACCCGGGAGGGTTTGGTGAGGAGTTTTGTAGCAATGGCTCCAGGGCGGGGGTGCTGATAAGGACCACGGTGTGGGCAGGGCCTGCGCTCCTTTAATCTGGCCTCAGGAGGTCCCTGCTGAGCTTCTGTGCTTCCTGTCTTCTGGAATGAAGAATGCTTCATCTTCCATTTGATGGGCATCTCAGTATCTGCAAAACAGCTCAATGATGTTGTTCTGTGCAGCCCTGGAGGGGGAACCGGGACCCTGCCCCAAGGCTGCACCATTGTTTCTCGACTGCCCCTCCCTTGTCTCTGCATCTCCTCCCTTCCCTGACGAGCAACTGTTTGAACCTCCATGGGAAGGCCACGGACGCTGGAGCCTGCTACCTACAAACAAGAAATGGGGGACAGAAAGGCTTCCGAGACCAGGAGCCCCGCAGGGTCCTGCTTGGTTTTGCTACTCACAAACATGGGACCCTGGTCAAGTTACAAAGCCTTCCTGGGGCTCAGTTTCTCATCTTTAAAATGGGGATTGTATTAATAGTTATGCACAGAGTTAATTAATTTATCCATCATTTGTAGAAACTCCACTGTAGAGTACTTCACTGTGGACATTTCAATCAAAAAGGTAGTCATGTGACAACAGCTCTGCAAGATGTAACGTGAAAACAGGCTGCTGTACTTCACAGACGAGGTGACGGTCGAGTCGTGTACCAGACCACACGGACTCTGAGGGATGGGACATCGCTTCCCCCTTCAGGGCTGAGAGTGCTGAACGTGGGTGGACACGGCGATGACCAAATTCAAACAGAAATCTAGGCAGCCAGGAAGAAAGAGGTACTAGGAAGCGCTCTGAATTCCTAAAATAGTGTTTTTTAACAGTCCCATAGTATAATCATTTGCCTCAGTAAGTGTGAAAAATAGTGGCTAGATTAATGGGCCAACACTCACATTTTTGTTTGGTTTTATGTGTGTCTACAAAGTCATTCAAGAAAGAAAAGAAAGAATGGAGTTTTTTCCACACTGTCTGATGGGACAAATATTGATACCGTGAGTGTCTTTTCCACTCCTATATCCCTTCAGATACGAACGGAATTTATTTCAGGAATTAGAATTTCATTTGAAGACTTTTGCTTGCCTGAGGGCTTAACAGGTTGCTGGTTAGTTCTTGCCTTTGGGCTTTGAAAAACTCCAGCCTATCTAAAAATACCTTCATAAAATTATCAATGCAGATGCAAATTTGCCTTGCCATAGGGCTTTAAGAAAACACTGTAGACCAGGAATTTTGAATTAGAGACACGCGGAGGGATACACATAGGAATGGTAGGCGTGAAAGAAGCCTAGGCTCTGACACCTAGAGTTCATCATAAATTGATTCTTCCAAGGGAACAACTGGGAAAAGAGTGTATTTCTTCCCAGCCCTGATGCTGTAATTCGGTAGCAATCATGAACAGCAAGAGAGGAATGAGAACTCCTTCCCCTTTGTCCTCAAAGACAAGGAGATAGATTCTTTGACATAACTGCCCACAGACGGTGCAGACTGAGGCATTCCCTGGATGACTAACTTGGCCAGGATAAACAGGATGCCCACGCCTTGGGTGGGCTTCGACCCCAGGCCAGTCTTAGTCACCACCCTACCTCCAGTGACCCAGATTCAGTCTGGCTCACATCTTTTACTTAGGCTGTTCCAGAAAGATGCTAGCTGTCTCGGCACTGTGCTCTTGAACACGTGCGAGAGTTCGTCTACGTACGCCAAGGTCTACCCCAGATCAAAGATGGGGAGGCCAGTCGTCATGAAGAAAACTTTGGGAAACATGCAAAACCTTCACGTGGGAACACTTTGGTCCAAAATCCAGGGCCTCAGAGTGTCGAATGAAACACACCGGAGTCTAAGGGGAGTCGGGAGACAAGGTGACCTGGTACCTGTCACCGGTAGTGTGACCCCAGGCAAATTCTCCATTAATTCTCCATCTCTCTGCAGTAACATGGGGGAAACTCCAGCTTTCCTCAAAGGATTGGTGGGAAGATGAAATGAGAAAATATATTGCAAGGTATCTAACAGTTCCTGGGACATGACAGGTGCTTCACAAAGTAAATCTGAATCTGAATGATTCTCCCCTCACTTTTATTTTCCCTGGTTGCCTTCTGTTTAACTAGCAATCTGCGGGGAAAGGCATGCTTTTTACCCTCCTAATTTCACGAAGAACCAGTAGAAGATATTCCAGACAATGAGCAAGGAGAGACTGTGGTCCGGGAAGATGGGGAAAGCGTCAAAGCCAACTGTGCCCAGAGAAATAAAATGTGGGAAAATAAAACGATGCCTTAGGATGTCGCAAGGCTGTTTAGGATAGAAGAGAGCAGGCGCTTTTCTGACCATAAAGATGACAGACGGCTGGGAGTAGTCATCACAGTAGAAAAGGGTTATGACAACCCTTTGAACTATCCTGAGCTTCAAAAGCGATCGAGGGATCCTTGACGTAAGACGAGTTAAGCTCTCTGTCCCTGCCTGCTTCCACATTCGTGAAGCTGCATACTGAGGCTCTGGGCCCCTTATACAAAGGCTGACAGCCAAGGAAAGACTGCCCCGAAACAATGATCACAAAGTGAGAGGGTCCTTCTCTCATGACCTCTGAGAGAAGGGGCTCACTGTCTGAGAAAGGAAGATCCGTGGCCGTGTCTTGAGTTCTTTACTACGATTTGTCACCACGTGGACAGAAGCCTTCAGAGCCTACACATGATTTCGGGGGAGAGAAAAAGGACATTTATGGACCACGGGATATGATCAAACACAGTGTTTGGTGGTTGTCCGAATTTTCAGGGGGCGCCCCGATCTCAGGATTGTTCCGGATGCCACCCGTGGGACTCTGTGGAATAGCAGATCGGATGTCCGTGCCTGGCTAATGACGACAGAATTTCCTTACGATTTACAGCTCCTTACGTACTGTACTATTTTTCTTTACCTCGGAACCACACTTGGCATCTTCTGATGATACCAAACAGATGTTAAACATGAAAAGGTGGCTACCCACATGTAACTTATTGTTTTCCTGAATTCAATACAATTCCTGACACTTGCCTTAGTCAGTGGTTTCCAAACTCTTTTTTCTCCCTTTCTTTTTGGTTATCAGTAGAATTTCTCTTTCCCAACCAGGATCGTAACAGGTGAAAGAGAACTACCATGACTGGATGGACTTGGGGAGAAGCACCTACTCATCCTCTGTTGCCAGCCCCCAGGCACCTCTGAGTTGAGTCCAGGAAATTGGTCCTAGTCCTGTATCATCACAGAAGCACAATTAAATTGAAAAAGAACTGGCATTACTACCTGTCGTAGCTTAGAGAATGGAAGAATTCTAAGCATTCTCAATGCTCCATATACACTGGAGACAGACTCCAGTGTAAACGTCTCCTGTAAGGAAAAGGGGCAGAGAGGATTCTAGACCAAGGTTGCGCTGTTTGTTAGCAGTGAAGCCAGCCTAAGTCCGGGGTCTCCTGTCTCCCGGTGAAACAATCTTTCGTTGTGGTGGCCCTGAGTTGGCCAGGGCTCCTCTTTCTTTGGGGCTGTTTCTGGCTCCTTACACGCTCTGGGTTCTGAGTCAGACAAGCACTTCTGAGATTTTGACAGAAAACCTTTGCACACTCAACCGTGACTTCCGGAAGGAAAGAGCAGCTTGAGTTCAATGGGCAAAGCCACCTCAAGGCCTGTCCTCATCTCCCGTTTCTCTGGGCCACACACCTTTAGCTTGCCACCTCTGGACTCCCCTCCCTCAAAAGGCCACAATGAGAAAGTACATCTGCTCCTCTGAGAGCGGGCCCCGACACAAGCCTCTACCGTTTGCCTCGGCAGGCAAGCCTTTCTGATTCCAGCTGCACATGGGGAGGTAAGGGGTGACCAATCTCGATAAACAAAATATAAGGAAAAGTGTATTTTCTGTTTTTAGGGTGGAAAAACAGAGTATTAATATATCCTGAGATGTCTGAAGAGAGAGAGGTCATGTGTTTCGGGGTAACTGGAGAGAGTGGAGAAACAAAAGCATGATTCTGAGAGAGATTTTACTGCACTTCTTCTTTCCCCCAGAACAGTCTATTCCTGCTGTGATCTGTGGGCATTCACTTTGCCTACTAACGACAGCCCCAGCTCCCAGCCTCATTTAAATGTGTATAGAAGTGTTGCTGGGCTTCCCTGGTGGCACAGTGGTTAAGAATCCACCTGACAATGCAGGGGACACGGGTTCGAGCCCTGGTCCGGGAAGATCCCACATGCCACGGAGCAACTAAGCCCATGCACCACAACTACTGAGCCTGTGCTCTAGAGCCCACGAGCCACAACTACCGAGCCCGCGAGCCACAGGTACTGAAGCCCGTGCACCTAGAGCCCATGCTCCACAACAAGAGAAGCCACCGCAATGAGAAGCCCGCGTGCAGCAACGAAAACCCAATGTGGCCAAAAATAAATAAATAAATGTATTAAAAAAAAGAAAAAAGAAGTATTGCTAGTTAGTCATTCTAGAAAGTAGTGGACACTTCAGTTCATAGCACTCTGAACTTCAGAAACTCCTACTCACTCATCTGCCACTAAAATACTGAAAAGTTCTGGGAAAAGTCAAAATCGTTTTGCACGTGTCCCTGTGTGTGTGCGCGTGTGTGTGTGCGCGTGTGTGTGTCAGGACTGAATCAGAAGAAGAGCAAGGAAACTTGTAATATTTGATTTTCTGGGCAAAATATACGGCCCCACGGTTCCTGCCCTCCTGAGTGTTAAGTGATTAGTCGAATGGATACTTGGCTTTAAATCTTATTTCATTCCAAAAAAAAAAGTTAATAGCGACACCCACCCTCCCTCCCCCCCAAAATGATCACTGCTAATAACCGAGTACCTTCCGGCACGTTCCTCATCAGGAATTTGTAGGTGGTACTCTACATATATTCAGCTGGAGTGGGCACGCCTGCCGAAGGTTTAAGAAAACACGAAAACCACAAAGAATGTTCCCAATTATTTTCTCCTGGTGGGCGGAACAGATGCCTTTCCTCAAGGAAAATGCTTTAGGCCAAAACAAAGCCATATTCATTCAGAATCTATTGTTTAGTAACTGTGCAGACCCCGGGTTATATAAAATTTACTTTCGATGCAAGGATCCCACTTTCCTAGGAAGGGTTCATAAGCAGAATGGAGCAGAGGATGATACAGTGTTAAAACCATCAACCTTGCCAAGGCCAAGGGCAGTTCAAGAGACACTAGTGCAAGGACACGGAAGGGAACCCAGGCAATGGAGATGTGGGCGGATTTGGTCTGGAGTCCTGCAGGGGCACCCGGCTGGCTTTATTTATAAGGCCAGTGCCAAAGCCATCTGTAGACGATGGATGAGGTGAAACGCAGAGGTGGAGGATTATTCTAGATCGTGTGTAACTTTTCAAATACAACCTCCATGCTGAAATTCCAGGGCGAACGTAAGTGACTCCAATCAAGAAACCTGTCAGTCACGAGTGTTTCTTTATGAGCTCCCTGGGCCAGGCACTCTTCTAGCCAATATGAAACGATACAAAAGAAAGGGTAGTCATCACCCTTATAATCTCGTGAGAGCAAATGGGTTAAATCTGTACACACACACATACACACACTCTATGTGGGTGGTCAGCAAACTCAACGATACAGACATATAACAGCGTCATGTAGAAAAATCCTGATTAGGAAATCAAAAGTACCGAATTCGAAAAACCGGGAAGCGATTGGTTTCAAGACAAATAGATTAGAGTGTGTTCATAAAGCATGTCGTTTACATAACGAATCTCCTTAAGCTATTAAAACTGGGAACTCTCCCCCAGATCTACAGACCACGTTTAGAACCTATTTACTGCGCAAATATGGCTTCACACTGGCCTTGAGGGGCTGCTCAAGTGAAGACACTACCAAGGCCTGTGTCTGCTAAACTGCGGCGTCTTCACGATCAGAGACTGGGCTTTCCTTATCGGCCTTAAAATCCTGCCCTCTGAAGACAGAAGTGGTGAAGCAGTAAGAATGAACCCATGGGAGAGGTGAGCGAAGGCCTCAAAGGGGAGTTGAGCCTCGGAGAATTTTAAGAGGGGAAAAAAGAGAAGAGAACTAAGATGTTACAAGCAGAGAGGTGAAGTTGGCTGGGCTCGGTGGGCATCCGAGCAGAGGAAGGGGGCTTGCCACGTTCAGCGGGAAGGCTCCGCCCCTAGCTGGGTCCACGGTGGGGGGTGTCCCCGCCCAGGCGTCCCTGGACCTTTCCCAGGGCGGCTCCCCTGCGTACTCACCGAGGGCCTAGCCGGGCCGGGAAGGGCAGCTGGCTCCCTCGGCAGGAGCCCTGAAAGTCCGCCCGTATTTCAGCTCGCCCCCTGGGTCTCCATCCTTCCCCCGGCCTTACCTGGTCCTGTGGTTCGCCTCGGCTCTTTGACAGGAGGTGGGCGCTCTTTGTGCTTTGCCTGCCCTGGCCCTTGCTTGAGGCAGGCTTAACGAGGGCAGAGACTTTTGCCTGGTTCCATGTCTGCAGTTTTAGAACAGTGCCCGACTCAGGAGGCATTCGGTTCCTACAGTGTTTGTTAAAGGAATAAATGGTGTTCTATCCCGGCCATTTGTCTTTACATTTACTTTTTTCCACTCCCTGCTTCAGAGGGCTGGAAGCTGGAGGCAAAGACCTCCCTGCGTTCCGGCTTCCCTTCTTCCTCGGGCGCAGAAAGCCTGGCCGAGGGTCGCAGCCCGGCCCTCTGGGGACGGGGATGCCCTCGGGAAGGAACGTGGAGCCCCGGCCAGGGGAGGAGGGCCGCGCGGAGGCGGGGAGGCGCAGGAAGTTCTTCCCTCGTCCCCCGGCTCGGGCAGCGCCCGCCGCGCCCAGCCGGCTCGTCGCGTGGCGCTCGGGTAGCCCGGGCCGCATCCCCCCGCCGGGGCCCCGCGGCACCCCGCGCACGCGCCGGCACCTGCCGGACCGCCCGGGCGCGCGGGACCCCGGCCACCCCCCCCGGCGCCGGGAAGGTGGGGAAGGGGAGGGACACGCGAGGTCCGCGCCGGCCTGCTCCGCGCCCGGGGCCCGCTCGCCGCGCCGCCCGAGCGCTGGGGAGGGGACGCCCGAGCGGCCCCCGCGCGACCCCTGCCCGACCTCCGGCGCTGCGCGGGACGGGCGCGCGGGACCGCCTCCAGGTGCTCGATCCGCGCCGCGCTCCGGGCGGGCAGCGCGTCCCGCGGCCTCCGTGCGCCCGGGCCGGGGCGGCCTCGGCCGGGACCCCGGACCCGCTCGGGACACCCCCCGGCCCCGGCGCCGCGCCCGCGCCTGGGCCTCCCCTCCCCCTCGAGCTGGGGGCGGGGCGGCCGCGGCGCCCGGAGAGCGCCCCGACCGGCAGCTCTGTGATCGATTGGAAGGTGCCGGCCGCCCCGCGGGCTGCAGGCCGGCCCCGCGCGACCCCCGACCCGCCGCCGGGCCGTCGGCCGGCTGACAGGTGCTCGGGGCCCTGGCCGGGGACTCCTCGGCTGCGCGCGCGGCCCCCGCGGCCCCCCCTCCCCCTCGCCTTCGCCCCCATCCCCCCCCACCCCACCCCCGCCGCCGCGGCGCGGCGCAGGATCTGTTCAGACCTCGGGGAACTGGTTCAGGTCCAGGTTCTGCTTTGATCCTCGGCGCAAACTGGAGACGCCGAAGAGGGCCCTCGGAGAAAGCCTTGGATGGGAGGATGTGGGAAGGAGCCCGCGGGGCTCGGCGGCGCTGAGCCCGGCCCGCAGCCCCGCCGCCCCAGTGCCCGCCGCCCGCGCGCCCGCCCGCTCAGCCCAATGCTCCTCTTCGGGCTCCTGCTGCTGACATCCGCCCTGGCCGGCCAGAGACCCGGGACCCGGGCTGAGTCCAGCCTGAGCAGCAAACTCCAGCTCGCCAGCACCAAGGAGCAGAACGGTGAGTGCCCCCGCTCCGTCCCCTGCCGCGCCGCCCGCGCCGCCCGGCGCGCCCGGGCGGGACGCACCCCGGCCCGCGCGCCGCGTTCGCGGAGCTTCCTCACAGCCTGCGGCTGGGGCAGCGGCCGCCGGGCTCCAGCGGGGCAGCCTGAGTGTCCCCGCGGGCGCCGCCGCAGCGCGGACATGCTGGGAGCCCTGGGGGGCGTCAGGGCCAGCGCGCTTGCAAGACCTCTCGTCGCCGGAGTCCTAAGTTCGAGAACTGCCTCTAGACCCGAGTCCGACACGAACGCGTCCTGGCATGTTTGACTCTCCTCCGAGCTTTTTGCCCTGGGGAGGGGTGTCCCAGGACGTGTGTCAGCCGCATTAATTGAAGCGCTCGCGGTGGAAAGGCATCAATTAATCAGTAAGTAGATAGCAAACCAAGAGGTCGAGGGGCCCCGTGGACGTGTGCAGGGGGGGAATTAAAAAAATGTATTTCTCCTGTGCTCTTTTTTTTTTTTTTTTTAAATGTGCCTTTGTACTCCTGAAGCCCTTACCTTTCTGGTAGTGTGTTTTTATATGCGATGGTGAGTGACTGCTAGTTTGTGTGTGCTGGAAACGACTTAATCCTGCATAGGAAATGAGAATTACTTTCACCTTTCAAGTGTACCTGAAATGTTTAGAAAACTCTCAGATGCAAGTTCCCTTGGGCTGGGATCGCACAGAGCCGGAGAAAGGCTCCTTTCATAAAGCCAGGGCTGCTTCAGGGTGTGTAATTTGCTTAGCCTCTGAACCCCATATGATTTACATCATTCAATTTCTAAACCCTTTTGCTCTTGATCTAACATTATGAAGTCATTTTTGAGACTACTTTGTAAATAGAAATTTTATACTGCACATGAAACCACAATGTCAATGCAGGCTGTCTAAAATTAGAATATTAAACACCCTGTTTACAAGTGGCGGCTCTCGGTGTTATTTGAAAAGAAATGTACATGTTTTTACTGCTTTATATGCCATCTGTTCGGAATGCAAGAAGGCTGTCACTTCATGAACCGTGCGAAACGAACGTGAGCAGCGTGTGCCTAGGAGATCAGAGTGCCCTGAACTGTGTTTTTAAGTCACAAGCAACTTTTTCTGTCGGTTTTGGGGGGGTGTCTCCGAGCTTCAAGTTTGGATTGAAACTCTCCAGAGTGTTCACCTTTAAGAAAGCACAGAAAGTTCTAGAGTCCAAAAAGAGAGAAAATAAGGGTTCCTGGGACCTTTGTAGCCATTATCTGTACTCGCTGTTTGGGCAGCAAGACAAGGCATCACAAGGCTGATAGCACTGTGGTTGCTTCTTACGACTTGGTGATGTGATGGGACGGGGCACCTGCAGGCTGCTTGAGCCGCTGATCAAAGGGATCCACGTCCAATCCCGGGGACTGCAGAGGGCCGGGGGCGCGGGGACAGGGCGGGGGGGGGCGAGGGGGGATCAAAGAAGCCACAGCGCCACTTGTACCCTGGCAGGAGACGGATCAGACCAACCTCTGTTCTTTATCACGTAAAATAAATGCCCAGTTGAAAATATCGCTTCTGACTGGACCAAGTTTCCCCAAATGACCATGCACCGTATCCCTGGCTCCTGGCTTTTGTTTTTTTATTTTTTCCATCCCAGATCCTTTCTCCTAATGCTCTGACTTACTTATCAGGCCTGTCCTGGCATCTCTCATCTTCCCGAGTCCCTTCGCGACTTGTACTTGTCATTGTCCTTTCCTTGCCATTCTTTCTTGTGGTCCACGTGCCATCGTCGCTTTGTAACGAGGCCCAGAACTTTCACCGGGGTCTTTGGCCACTTTCCGGGGTCGATTCACCCCCCTCCTGAGAAGTGGGTTCGTGAAGCCAGGCCACACACATTGTGTTGCCGTCAGAGGCTGGGCCATTTCCATTCCTAAGATGCATGATGCTAAAAATAGCCGGGTGGTTTCCTAATCTGTGTGCAGAGGACTGGTCTATGTTTAGCCTTTGGGAGGGTTGGCAGCCGGAAGTAAGTGGAGGTGGAGGAACCGCTCACCTTGCGGTGCTCAGCCTGAGAAGCGGGGCGGCCAGCGCTAGGGGGCGGTGTAGAGCTATCTTCCCGCGCATGGAAGGTCCCAGGATGCGAGGGTAACAGGTGGGTGCTAAGGAAGATCCCCCAGGAAAGTGAGCGGCTTTGCTGGAACTTTCTCCTCCTTTTGTGGCTTTCAACTTTTCCATTCCGTCATGTGGGCATTTTTTTTTTTTGCCCTCTTACTGAATTATGATTGGTTTCTGATTGCCCTGTTGCTTCTCTCAATGTAGATGAGAGTCTGATTCCCCCAGTACAGACCCACCTGAGGGTACCACAGAGAAAACGCCATCCACCCAGTCTGTGCACTGTGTCATATTCAGAAAGGTCTTCGAACAACTGCTAAATGTGAGATGTCCAAATCGATCTGTTGTGACAGTCGGACGTCATTCTGTCCACCATTGACCACCCCCCTCCCCGACGGATGGTTACTCTCTTCCCTGGAGAATTCCAGAGCCTCCTGTGGGGTTGACTCCATCAGATCCCCAGGCCTGCTCAGTTTCAAAATCAACTGGGTGTCCTGAGCCCTGTCAAACATGGAAATTGATTGCTCTGACCGATGCCGGGCACTTGGATTTAGACCGGGGCAAGGGAGGCGCTTCAGAATTAGGTGTGAGGGGTCAGTGTCACTTACCCTGTTTCAGTTAGTTGTTTCTCTCCTCAAAACTCTGTTGCAGTTCTTGCCACTTTACTGGAAAAATAATTTTATCCTCCAGTACTATGAGGTGCCGTTGTGGCCTCGCTGCGCAGCTTGTGGGAGCTTAGTTCCCAGTCCCAGCATTGAACCTGGGCTCCATGAGTGAAAGCGCGGAGCCCTAACTAACCGCTGGACCACAGAGAACTCCCGCCTCTGTGTCTTTCATTCTTAATCTGACTGCTGACAATGAAGTCTCACATATCCACCAAGGATCTGCCCCCAGATTTAACGGAGAGAGGGAGAGGAAAGATGAGAACGCTGACGCAGGTAGGGTTTCTGGCCTGGACGCGCTGTACGGCCATGGGGAAATGAGTGTGGTCTGCATGCACTCCTTTTAGGAGAGGACTCCTCCCAGGAAATGGGCGAGTTCTGGGATGCTGCTTCCGGGCTGTAGCAGAGGGAATCAGGCGCATCTCAAGCGAAAGGGAACACAGCTTGTTTTGTTTACCGCGTGTGTTTGGCCCCAGTAGACGCCAGTCACAGGGTTGTCGGTGGGATGAGGCCTCGCCCACCTTGTGTCACTGGGGAGGGATTTTAATTTACCCACAGCCCTGAAACATGCTTCTGACTGTTCTGTTAACGGTTGTGAGTGTAGATCTGGGATATGTCTCTGTTGATTAGGGTTTTCCTTACGAACATTATTTTAAAAAGCTTAAGTGCAGTTGATGTATGATATTATGTAAGTTACAGGTGCACAATATAGTGATTCATGATCATTAAAGGTTATCCTCCGTTTATAGTTACTGTAGAATATTGGCTACATTCCTGTGTGCTGTAATATATCCTCGTAGCTTATTTTCAACATCATAATAACGTACCTTCTAATCCCCTACCCCAGATTGCCCCTCCCCCTTCCCTTTCCCCACTGAGCATCGTTTATGGTTTGCGCACTTGTCCTCAAGGGCTTCTGTGGCCTGTGCGGCCATTTACTTTGGGGACAGATGGTCCCCTGGTGCCTCGCTCAGTACGTGTGTCTTGTGTTTACGGCTTTTCAGTGCGTCTCTTTCAGTGCCAGCTCACCCCTCCTCCCATTGCCAGTGTGCCCATATCCACTCCCCTCCCCTCTGCCCTAGGTAGCAGCTTCAAAGCTGTATTTGACTGCAAGGCAGATCATCACAACCTTTAGAATAGTGTCCAAGAGTAATAGCTCTGCCCGAGGACCCAGGGGACTTTCCTGTTAGTCTATAAGTTGTCGCGCATGACCTTTGTGACATTTATTTTTGTTATCTAGAGGGGTTTTTTTTTGTTTTTTAACTTCCTCCTGGTTCTCTGCTCTGTTTGGGGTAGTTGAGGAAGTTGGAGAAGCGAAGCCCCATTATGTAATGATGAATATTGCTTTTCACCATAGGTGACAAAAAATCCCCCTTCTATTTTATGGTGACATTTCCTCTTCTCCCAGCTGTTACCTTCTACCCTTAATCTTAGAAACTTGATGTTTACCTCTGAAAGGTAATTAGAAAGTACAAAGGTCTGTACGAAGCCTCAGGGACTATATATCATTTGTTGAATAGTTGTAAATAGATGCTGGGGGCCGACCCTACACTTTCCTCCTTGGTGTATTTTGTAGTGCCCTGTGTCGGGCACCAATGTCTTAGGTTGGTTTATTCTTAGTTCATCCTTCCTGAAACTTACTCCTTACGTATCTTCTTGACATTCTCTTCTACTACATGTTTTTTTCAACATTTTGGTGCAAAAATTGTTTTATCGATAAACTCGCACACTTTTTGTAGAAGTAGAAATCTAATGATAACGTGATGTGTGTTAAATAAGAAGTAATTGAATCAGTGCTTTGTAATGTCCACCTTCCCCCCGAAACGTTCCCGAGACTGCTAAACATTTCAGGTGTGCGGCAAAGTGATTCAGCTGTACGTATACATACATCTATTCTTTCTCGAATTCTTTTCCCATTTAGGTTATTCCAGAGCACTGAGCAGAGGGGAGGTTTCTGTTTGTATCAACCAACATGGTAGAAGTCGTAATAAAAGTCCCTTCATTTACTTGGCCTGCTTTTGATGCCTCTGATGATTCTATTTGCAAGTGTTATCTGTAGCCAGAATATCTCTGTACGACGCCATATAATTTCTGAACGCTCCTTGGTTAAACAGTCTCTGAATTATTTTTCTCTACCACTGCCTCCACCTGTGATTTTTTCCCCTCGCATCCCCCTTCTCTGTCTCCTGAGGATACGTCTAGTGGTCGATCTTTGGCTGGTAAGCACGGGGTACGACCACACCCATTG